AGGGGGAGGGGGGGGGAAGGAATTCCTTAATCAAAGAATATAATATAGTGGATGAGGATGTTCTTTCTTTAATTAGAGGTTTTGAGTTTAAATTTTGGATATGAATTTTTTTTTGGTCGGAGTGTTTCCCATGAATGACTGTTTTACGCAGCGCAAATCAGAATTAGTCGGATTTCAATGCGAATATCAAACATCAGATGATTTTTTTTAAGAAATGAGTGTTAAGGGAGATGAGTAGATGAATGATAGGGTTATTTAGATCGAATCGTAACCGATAATTTCATCACAAAATATGTTTATTGTTAATGGATTGTTGGATTAACGTTTGAAAAATGATTTGAAATTTTATAGTTAACGATTTAATGACACGGAATACAATTTACTCATTTCCTTATCAATTTAGCCATTAACCTGCTAAGAGTTATTAAATTAGCATTTATAACCCTACATGTATTCCATACTTCTAATTTTATTTTAGTTTCTAATGAGATTTGAAATATAATAGTCCCAAATATGATTGTGTCAAAGAACCATTTGGACTTTGTAGCTTGATGTTCCATGTCTTATTGGATCAATTTGTTTGCGTCAAATTACATGGGCCAAGTCCATTTTCACTTGTGCCTAGGCCCATTACTTGGGCCAAGTCCACTTGTCACGTGCCTAGGCCCATTGTTATTATTATAATTTGACTTTTCAAGAATGTATTCATGAAATTTGAAATATAAAATTTAAAAAATTATGAAATACCAAGATGAACATGTGAAGAAGAGGAATTCTCCTGCGGTTATTTTCCAAAAATCAAAATGGGGTATGCCCAATATATTTTAGAGGAAATTTCAAAAATAACTTGGACTATAAACATAATAAAATTCCGTTATAATTTGCTTAATTACGATTTGTAGTGGTATATGTTATAAGGAGGCGAAAGGAAAGAAGAGAGGAAAGAAGCGAATTATATTTGTAATATCTATTGGATAATTATGTGTATCAATGATCGTATTTGTAGTTTTACCCTTTTTTGTTTTTGATCCTACAAAACACACCCTCAACATTTTAAAAACCTTTTAAATTATGTAAATTCTATTTTTTCAAAGATGAAAACCTCAAACCATTTTCATTTTATTTATTTTTCCTTGCTTTAACACTTTGTCTATGTGGTTGTTACGAATTGTTTCATAATGTATTGTATTGTGTTGTATTGTACTATGTTGTATTGTATCGTAATGTATTATTTTAACTTTTAATGAATACAATGTTTGGATAGATTGTATCATTCTTCATTGTTACATAATGTCACGTGCACACATCCATAATTTGAATAATAAATCTATAAGAGAAGTAGGGTACGGACTAGAGTTATTATGAAAAAGTAGGATAAAAGATGAAATACAATTATTAAATAATAAATAAAAACAAAATAAAATAAACATATTAAAGTAACAACACAATCACACTAAAAATTGATGGTAACATGAAATGAGTACAACACGGGTAACAACCATCTTATTTATTTATTTATTTATTTATTATTACTATTAGTAACTATTAGTGAGGTGTCAGTTGTCATGTCATGAGATGCGAAGTCAGTGCAAAGCAGCATTTTTCGACACTTGCTTCTGAAATTATTATACTCCTAACTCCTATATACTTTGTTTTCCAATTAACCGCTCCCTTTTCCATCTCTTGCCGCTACGCTCATTCACCCCCCACTCCCCTTTCTCCACCCGGGCCTCTGCTTTCTTCTCCATATCTAATTCATCATGAGTCTTTTTGGTCTTGGAAGGTAAAAGTTGTAATCTTTTTTTAATTTTTTGGGAATTGGGTGTTGATTTCTATGTTTTCATGATATTTGATTGATTTGTGGTGGATCTGTTGATCTGGGTTTTTCTTTCTGTGTTAATTCTTTGGGTTGTTTCAATTTTAACTCAACTAGTGTTTTTGTTGTAGTCTTTTAGGTGTTTCTTTTGGTATCTTTTTTAGTGTTTTTGAATGCTGATAGTTTAGATGAGGTTAAAGGATTTTTGATTTGGGTGGTCAATTTGGGGTTAGCTGTGTTTTACTGTGGGGCTTTGATGATAAGCATATAAATTTAGTAGTCCTCCGTTTGAGTTTGTTTGTCTGATTTTGACTTGATAGGGAATTGACGGAAGTAAAGAAAGACTTTTGAAATTTGTAGTCTTAAACTAAAAGTTTGTAGAATGTAGTAAAATGTCTTTTGTCACGTGGAGAGTTGGAATTGAAGAATTGCTGAAAAAAAGAAGAAAAGATTCATTCTTTTTTAAACAAACTGAAAATGAAAGTAAGACAATAAACTGAAACGAAGGGGGTACTTTTAAAAGAGAAAATCCGGTTTAGCTATCAGTGTCTCTAGAAATGCATTTGATATAGCCAAATAGTACAAGTTTGTAGATAGTTGTGTGTCCAGTTTAGTTGAAGCTGAAAATGTTAATTGAATGAACTGCCATGTATTTTTTCATTCTTAAAAGGATAAATCAAACTTATCTCATTGTTTCGTTTGTATTGGAGCTGAATATGCCAAAAGAATGAAACTTTTTAGCAAGTTTCTGGCAATTGATTAATATTGAGGGTTTGATTTCAAGTATGCATATTTGCTTTGTGCTGTGGGGATATTGCATCATCTCCTAAATTTGACTGGTTTTAGTTTGACCTACTTAACACTGATTGTGTACTCAGCTCACACGTTTGCCTGTGGTTGCATTGAACTTTAACTTCTAGTGCACCTTGCTTTCAGATTTGACTGGATGTTGTCTGTAGCCATATACATCTGTCATCTAATGTATTGTTTGCTCTTTCTATGCAGGAATCAGAGAACATTCCGGCCCAAAAAAAGTGCACCCTCAGGGAGTAAGGTTGCACTGTTTCCTAGTCCAGGAGAAGGAATTCTCCTGTAGTCTTCTGTGTTTTTGTACTTATTTTCTGTGTGTTAACTCTTCGGCTGCAACATTTTGATGTTGATACCTCCAATTTCTGGATATTTTCAGTTGCCAAAGAAAGAGCAATCTTCAAGAGTTAGGGAAAACTGACTATGCTTGTCCAATTCTCAAGGATACTTAGGCAGCTTAGACTCTCTAACCTTCATACTAATATGCGTTTATGACTGACTGCCATGATAGTTGGGTTTCTAGAACTACAAGCGTTATTCAACTTGTTTAGAGGGTGAGACAGAGTCTATGTGATCCCTGGATGCAAAAGTTATCATTACTTTAATTTTAGGGAGCTTTCAACTTTGCGAATGAGATATATAATATATTGGACTTTAGACTGTTAAGTGAGGGAGTCATTTTGTCTTGTTGATGACAGGGAACTGCATCCTAAGATTATAACTATGTGGCTAACGAGGTACTTATTTCTGATATAATGATAAATATGTGTTTTTGGTTCACATGAGGTATGGTTTCTATTTGGAAAGGTTGGAGGCATAGATATGCAAACTTCTATTTTAGTTAGAGAAGCATCAGGATGATATGAAATCATTTGAATAGTCTCGTAACTTTGAGAACCGTACTTGTATTTGGAGCTCGTAAGGCTCATCTAAGCTTCAAACTTTGACACAGTAAGATTTGGTTCACGAGGCTAGTTCCATAGTCTAGACTCTAAGAGTATTGCATGCTATGAGTTTAGACCCTTGTGTCAGACATTGACTTGTAACCAGTTCAGATATGTCTAAAGATACACAATAGGTTGAGTAGCACTGTTCAGCAAGTCTTCTTGCTAGTTTATCAAACTTCCCGGACATTTTTAATATGGTCTTAAATGTATCAACAAGCTGTGGAGTAGAAGAATAGTATTTTTTCCTCCTGCGTACAGTTTTTTTTTAAAAATGTATTAATTAGGTCATCTTCCTTAATTTTCTCTCCTTTTGTGCAATAACAGGGGGCACAGTTAAGGAAGCATATTGATGCCACATTGGGTAGCGGAAACTTGAGAGAGGCTGTAAGACTCCCACCTGGAGAAGATATTAACGAGTGGCTTGCTGTCAACAGTACTCTTTCACCCTCTCCACCTTTCTATCTTTCATGCATGTGCATATCATTAGCTAGTGCCCTAATTTTAGCCCTATTTTGTGGCTAATGTTTCTCAGACACAAACCGCACATATGATTGCTGTGTTCACTATCACCCTCGAGCTGCAGGTCTAATCTGTGGGTGAAGAAGAGTTTCTCTAAATTTACAAAAAGAAATAAAGTGGATGTTAAAAATGAGAAAGAAAGATTACCCATCTATCCCAAACTAACTACTCTACTTTCTTTTGATTGTCCCAAAACTTTGTCTCTTCTCTGAAAAGGTTCTCTACAATTTCTTGTACCTTTTGAATATATATTACTGCAAGAGATCACACATATGACTTTTTTTCCTGAAATGGTAAATGTTATTGATGTCAAAACCAGCAATAAGAAAGTGTTGTGATAACATCCAAAAAGTTAGGGGAAAGAAAACCCTGGGTATCTATACAAAAGATTCAATGAATTGTAACAGGGTATCATTATCCTCTATCTGCCATTCCCTTTTATACCAAGTTATCAACAAATTTGATCTTCAGGATTGAGTTGTTCTTCCCTTCAAAGAACCTCTGGTTTCTTTCTTTCCAGACACACCACCAAATGGTTGCTGCCATTGTGTTCAAATCTAACAGAAATTCCAATTAATCTGAGGTTTATTCTCCACGGTTTAGTATCTTTTATTCGAACAGAAAGCTTCAACTCTTCTCTTGTACCCATGCCTTGTTGAATTAGGTTGGTAAATGTGATCTGGGGTGTTGCAGGAGTATTCAACATGTTGAATGGTTAGTTCTAGGTAACAGGTGTTGTAAAGAATGCGGATAGGTTGTAAGCTCATGTGAGTACTGCTATAGTACTAACAAATTTTAAATTATGTAGTAGCTTGATGTCTATTTTTCGTCATCCAAATGCCACATGAACATACCATCCCTAAGAAGTTCGACCAAGCATTAGTAATTCACATTTTGTACAACAACTTTTGATGATTTACTTACTAACAATTAGAATTTTTAATGATTTTTAAAGGCTGGTACAAAGTAAAATGAATTGCGTAGCAGAAAGAATTCTAGATAGAAGCTTTCATGCTCTGCTTACATGTGAGTTTCCTTTGAAGCCAATTGTGAGAACAGAGTGCTTCATATACTATGTTATCATTGCTCTCATAATGCTCATACACACATTAATTTCGTTTCTTTGGTGAGTTGTTGCTATTATTCAATCTAAATTTCAAAACTGAATGGAGGCTTTATCTTGCAATATCCAGCTGTCGATTTCTTCAACCAGGTGAATCTGCTTTATGGCACGTTGACTGAGTTCTGTACACCAGAGAACTGCCCTACAATGACTGCAGGCCCTAAGTATGTTCAGTAAATGATTGCTTTGATGATACCTGTGCAAAGTACTATATGCTATGTAGTCCAGTGATGTATAAGAATAATGAGTAATCATTTAGATGCTCGCTGATTATATATCAAAATGTTGCTTTCCTGAGAAATATTTGAGAAGGATTATAATTATATCAGTCATTTCCTCATTTCTTTCTCTAGTTGGTATTTGTACTTCCATTGATGATTTCGTTACTAATTGGTGAATGTTCTACAGTTTAGCAAAGCTATCCTCTAAGTGGAGTTTAACTTATTTAGCTTCTGATTTAGATACTAAAAAACTAGAAACATGTAAATCCTTCCACCAGGTTTGCAATTTGACCACCAATTATGTGAAATTAACTTGAATTCAGTTGAATGTGTTTCCATTAGAAAGGTTTAAAGCCATGTATGTTGCTCATGAGAATGTCCTTTGTTTATTTTTCTTGGACTGACTAAACCTTGAGAACTTTCTGGATCATCTTGTTGGAAGTTAGCAGGTGTTCCTGGAGCATTGGTTATTTAATCTATTGTCCCCGTCCGTGTGTCATTCTGCTTACTGGTCTAGAAAGTTGATACAAGCATTCTAATGATTATACTCATCTTGTTGTGAATCAAACAACTCTTAAATTTTCTTCCCGTCTATAATGAGTTGTGCTTTTCTTCTTCTACCATTTGTCTAATATATGATATCTGTATAGCGTTCCATTCCACCCTTTGTGCCAGAACAAGACATACCTGAAACAGGAAAAGAAGAAAAATGTAAGGACTGGGATTGTATTGGAGCTAACAGTCTGTTCCTTTGTAATTCTGCATCTTCTTGATGAATTTTCTAATACATTTTAATTACTTCCCCAAAAATAAATATAAGGATTAGAATTTGGTAAGACAATAAAAGGTCTAGTTTCGAGACAATTTCTTACTTCTTTTCTTGTATGAAGTGTGGTGAGGGAAAGAGTGGGTAATGGCGTAAATGTGGCTGTTTCTTGCACTGCTTTTACGCAAAGATGTCATTTAATGGAGATGTCTGCCTGTTAAATGATCATGGGTGAGTGTGAATTCTAGGTTTCAGCGACAATACTCTGCCTTCAGCTATTTGCTGCCTTTTTGGAAGTAAACTAGTCTTCTTTGATGTTGACAAATTTGCTTCAATACCATCACGAGTGCGGCAATATTTTTGGAAGGTCCAAGCAACATAGATCTTGTCAGAGAAATGCGGATGGTGAATTTTAGATTGTACAAAATCAGAAATGATTAAATCTGACAAAGGGTCTAAGTAGCATACATTCATAAAGGATAAACTTAGAGAAGATCGTTTAAAATGGTTTGGCCATGTCCTGTGTAGACCTCCATATGCATCGGTAAATAGATGCCACGATAGGACGATTGAAGATGATAAAAGGGGATGAAGTAGATTTAAAATCATATTAAAGGAAGATGTTTCAAAGACTTACTATCTCTGAGAATCAATGTGAATTTGAATAAGAAAGAACACAATGAAGATATAGGATGTATATAGGTGACACCAACTATATGAGAGTAAGATATAGGATGTATATAGGTCACTTTATTTGAAAATCGGTTTTTGAATTCCGAATCCGTCTTGAAGTTTGTATTTCAAATTTGGATCACTGCTATAACCTGTTTTCCTACTCACTTTTCACCTTGGAAAATTGTATTTAAGTACATTCAAGCAGGAACATTATTCCAAATATACTTTGCAAAAAGTATAACCAAACAGAACTTCCATCTTCAACTCCAACAACAACAACATACCCAGTGTAATTCTACAAGTGGGGTCTGGGGAGGATAGTGTGTGCGAGACCTTGCCCTACCTTAAAAGGAAGAGAGGCTTTTCCGATAGACTAAATTCCAACTCCAACTCCATAAATTCCAAATAAAATAAAAGATACTTGGAATCTATGGCCAAACACTGGCGGATAGAGGTTATGGACCCTTCTTAGTTAGAAGTAAATTCTTTCCGGTAAAGAGTGATTTTTTTTACCATGAAGAGGGGAGAAGAATACAAATTAATGGTTTTGATGAATGGAGCAAAAAAACAAAAAGGAAGTCTTGATTTTTATTTTCTTTTTCATGATATATTTTTTCTGCACTCTTGACTTCCATTAGTTATTGGTGAATTGCAGTTTCTGCCGCACTTTTATATGGAAATTTGACTAATTTGCTGGTTATGTTATCCCTGTGAATTCTCATTCCTCCTTACTTAAGTCCAACTTTGATTATGATAGTCTGAACCAAATTAAAAAGTTTCTTATGGTGTTATTTTTGATGTTTCAAGAGAAGAAAAATTCAGACGGTATTCCTGACTTTTTCACATATTGATTTCAGATACGAGTACAGGTGGGCTGATGGAGTACAAATTAAGAAGCCTATTGAAGTTTCGGCTCCAAAATACGTTGAATATTTGATGGACTGGATTGAAACTCAATTGGATGATGAATCTCTATTTCCTCAAAGGCTTGGTAATTACTGGTCTTTAATTGGAAAGTAATAACATGCTATTTTACTGTACATTACAGGTGCGATCGATGTACACAGTTTCTACTTTTGAGTGTATTAAAATTTGACCCTCATCTATGATATATTTCACACGTTTCAAGAGTAAAATCTCATTTTATAATTCTAAGTCAAAGTATCATCGAATTGTTCCACATCATACCATCTCTAAAAACTACTCTATTATCATTCTTTTTTTCTACTCTGTTATCTTTCTGCGTATATTGTATCGGTCTGCTTTTTGATAAGTGGTTTTTCAACTTATAAAAAAAGTTACTAATATAATATGAAAGTCTAGTTTCTTGGTCTTCAGGCGGTCTGAAGTTGTATTGGACAAAAAGATCTTAGAGAGTCCCCTTTCCTGAACAACCCCCAAGTAAAAAAAACAATTACGTTGCTTTAGTCATTTACTTTTTAATTAGTCTTGTTGGGTGGGGTGTGTGGGTGGGGGATAGTGTGGTGCCAAATTCTGGGCTTGGAGATGGGTGGTGGGATGAGGTATTCTAGCTTTATTGATATCTATTCTCTTTCCATCTTAGTTTGGAGAATGCTAATGCCTTTGTTCTTGATTCTCTGTGCTAAATTTTGTAGGTGCGCCGTTTCCATCCAACTTCAAGGATGTTGTCAAGACAATTTTTAAGCGTCTCTTTCGTGTGTATGCACATATTTATCACTCCCATTTTCAGAAAATTGTGAGTCTTAAGGAGGAGGCCCATTTGAATACGTGCTTTAAGCATTTCATACTCTTCACCCATGTGAGTTATCTGAATCTCTTCCTTGTGCACATTACTAGTATATCTTTCGTCCAAAGTTTGAAAACATGTTAATTGCATGTATCTGTACAAATTATTGATCAAATTAATGTCGTGTTATCTTTGTTTTTTTTCTGGTTGTCTGTTAAACTTTTCAAAGGATTATGTATAGAAAATTAAAGAATTGATATCCTAGTACACAACTGAGGGGATTTTTTTGGTCTTTCTATGGAAGTCCATCATTCACTAGTTTAGTGGATGCTTGTTTGTTGCTGAACGAAGGTACTATTGTTCACGAGGAAACAATTTTAAGCTTCAATAATGGATGGCTCTCAAATCTAGAAGGAGTAGAAGATCTTGAATATTTATTCAAAAAATGTCATTTAAAACGGAATGAGTGATCTAAGTTTTATTGTTTCAAGAAGCACCCAAGGCTGGAAACTTTAAGTCAGTTTTCTCTTCAGTTTCTTTCTTTTTTTACTCTTCATCAAACATGGATAAGTCTAGATTTTACTGAACATATCTTTTTGGCAAGTTAGTGAGGAATATGTATGATTAAGTTTATAGCTCTCATCTAATATTGGTTAAGGTGCCCCTAGGGCTTAGGCAAGTGGTAAAGGTTGAGGACTTGTGATGTAAACTAGACATTCGAGCCCCGCGCCATGTGAACTGAACTTAGTATTTAAGTGAAGAAGTGTATCGGGGCGGACCCATTATCCAGAGTTTCAAAGGTTGAGGTAGGTTGGCCCCAGATTTCTCGGTAAAAAGAAAAAGAAAAGTATTTATGAAGGCAATGCCTTTAATATAAATGCAGGTCATGTTCCAGATTAATTTGTTCTAACGATATTTTTAATGTTGAACTTGGTTAATTGCTTCTCTTTTAGGACTTCTGCTCAGTCAAATTACTAATATATTCTCTTTCATACTGAAAAACATGAACTATGTTTGTTGTTAAGAGTAAGAACATACTACTTTGTTGTCATTATAGCATCACTGATAGTTGTTAGGCCACGTGCATGGAGGAATGATCTTACAGATTTTATTCCTAGGAAGTTGAGTAGTTAGGAGGTGTGGAAGTCTTGTTTGCATAATGACACCTTTCAAACAAAGGTTACTCAGGTGTGGACTGTGGTTTAACTCTAAATAACTCTTATGAAAAAGGCGGGCACTCTGTGAGGTGTTGGACATAGAAGCTAGGGAGGTTAGTAGAAACCTGGTTTGCAAGAAGAGTAGTGGTTTTCGGGTGTATATAGGAAAAAGGGAAGACAGAAGTATTCGACCTTGAGATGTGTTGATTGACATTAGCCATTCCCTGACAGACATATTTTTTGTTTTTATTTTCAGCGGCTAAGTATTTAATTGTCGTAAGAGAGCAGAAAGTGTAAATTTTTCCATCACTAGATTAAGAAGTGGGAGAATGTAATTTTCCTGGAGCCTACTTTTATTCTGATTTGCATCTTTTTCCCTACTAGGAGGGGATATTATGGAGCGTAACTTTTGACTTTTGAGGGTTAGATCTTTTGCGTAGGACCTGAATCACACCCCTCTAGTCCTTAATTTTGGATAGCTCTTCCTTCTTGCTATCCCCTTATAAGCAACAAAGTTTCTAGCACTACCTTATTGACAGATAATGAAAATTGTCGCTAGGAACAAAGATACTCACTAGTCAGTATCTGATGCTGGCTGGGGAAAAAAACTTTTGGTTATTTGTTCGAATGAGGTTATGCTGGTTGCTCTTGAGAACACAGGTTTTGTCATTGTGCAACATAAGTTGTTTTGTATGGAGTTGAGAGTAATAATTGTATGTTTATCTTGTAGGAGTTTGGACTGATCGACAAGAAGGAACTGGCTCCACTCCAAGAGATTATAGAATCCATCATCGTCCCGTACTGAACAACGTGATATTTCACCGTGCTGCTAAAGCTGGAACTAAATAGTGTAATGTAATGTAATAAAGTTTCTCGTGGTCATCCAAAGTGTATAGCCTCAGCTGACAATTTGAAGTGTCTATGAATGTATAATGGTTGTAGCTTTTCCTATATTGCTTTCAAGCAAAGTCCTTTTGTGGATGACTAAACGAAGACCAAACAGATAGAACCTGGAGTTGAGAAATCGTCTTTCTATCTTACAAAGGTAGGGGTAAAATTTATGTACATTCTATTCTCTCTAGACCCCATTTGCAGGACTATGACTATTGTTGGAGACATCGACCATGGTTGATGGTAGTAGTGTTTTTATTTTTTCCCTTCTATCACGAAAGCCATTTTAAAAAAAATATTTTTTGGTTGACATATCATAAAAAGTTGCTTTGAGAAAATGAGAATTTGTTCCCTACAATTAAAATAAAATCGAGTGATTTGTTTAAGTAAAATTGTTTAGCCATTATCTAAATAATTAGGTAATTGAACGACTTATTCTTTATATTTAACGACTTTGATACAATGATGTAAAAGTTTCGTGTCACTTTGTGATATCATTTCTATTTTACGGGTGTATCTGGTATGAAGGATTTTTTTTGTTAAAAAATAATAATTCATGGTTGGATGGCTCAAATACTTGACTTTAATGTACCGTTCTCTTTTTAGTGGGTGTGTCGAGTCAAACAGTGACAAGTAAAAATGAACGGAAGGAATAGTCTCTTAAATAATTTTGAGGAATTTTATATTTAAGTTTATTAAAAGTGAACACTGATTTTCATCAAATAATGATAAGTTTGATTCTTAAATTTGACAAAAATTAAGAAAGAATAAATGCTTCACCAAAGCACCATGAACGTCCTGTCAAATCAAAGAAATTGCAACAACCAAAACAGCACTAACACTAAAAATAGATTTTTAAAAAGGCATAAACCATACCTCAAAAATCTTGCCGTAGACACCCAAAATAGAAAAATAGCTAAAATCGAAAATACGATTCACCTAAATGTGAGTTCCCGAAGTTTTTTTTCTTTTCCCCACTAAATCAAACAACCAAAATTAGTTTAATATTTGGGAAATATTTATTTTTGACAAACTTAAAGGACTAAAACTGTCCAAAAATAGACTTAAGGAACTATTGTAAACTTACCCCAAACTTAACGAACCAGTAATTGTCATTTACTCCTATCTTTTCCTTTATTTTTTCTTTTATACGTTATCCAGGAATAGATTTATGTTACCTCTTCATTTTCTTTTATACAAAATTTGTTATTTTTTAATTATGTAAAAAAAATGATGGATACTTACACACGTCTAAAAGCTTCATTTTTATTATATTCCTAATCACTTCTTCTTACAAAAATGACAAAGATGTGTTGAATACTTTATTATAGACATCTACTTCCTGGTCTTTTCGAGCCCAGTCAAAATCTGGAGCATGGAATTTGAAGAATTTTATCAATGAGCTGCGATTAATATTAAATATCTCGATCTTTTTGAGTTTCATATCTGAATTATCAAAAGTGTGAGTTTTGTATTTGAATTATCATCAAATATTTATCAAAATACCTCAAGGTCCTCAACTATCAATTGCTTATTTTTTCTATCTGAAATATTACCATTATTCATGAAGGAAAAGTGAACAACTAATAATTGAGATATATTTCGACAAAAAAATGGTAATAATTCAAGTATGAAACTAAAAAAATCAAAATACTGTATTTTTAATCCGTAACTCAATATATCTCACGTGGAAAACATTTTTCTTTCTACCAAACCTACCATAGAGTATTGAATTGCCGCCAACCTCTGCAGCCCAACCTAATTGTCATCAATGCTATTATCAAATTATTTCTTATTCTTCCAAGTGTAACATCTTTTTTAATTCACTTGCAATAAATGGAAAGACAACAAAATAGAGTGTATTTAAAATAATATTTTTTAAATTTTTTTTTGTGCTTTGTCCATCCATAGTTACCAGCAGCTACCTTAATTAAAGTAACAATACAACAATAGTCTACTTTTAAGTGTCAAATTGACACTTACCAAGCTAGACAAATGAATAACTTAAGAGCAATATCCTCAAATGTTTCATTCAAGGCCTTTCCCTAACAAAAGAATATGTTACAAAAATGGCTAATACTATTATCAATGTTCCTAACCATCAAGAGGCACATGAGAATTCCTAATATCTTTATGACCAGTCTTTGAAGCTGCAAAACCATAAGCTCCAGTAGTGGCAGCAAGGACAACAAATATCATGGAGAAAAGTTGGAGGTTTGCTAGCAACTCCCCTCGAACTTCGCTATCTTCTGAACGACACATGACATCGTTCCCTTTGAGTTGGCAACCGTCTGGCATCATAGGACCATACAGAGTGAATGCAGTTTGATAGAACCAGAGGCCTTGGAGTGCTACAGAAATGCCGCTAGCCAAGTCAACAGGGAAACTGGTGGGCATGAGAGCTCCAGCGATAGTCGTCAATATGCATAGGCCTATCAGGAGGACAAGGATAAGGTGATAGTACCCTTCGAGGCCTTTGTGAGTTGTGGAGTGGAAAAAGAACAAGAAATACTCTGCAGAGAATGCTGTGGCAGCGATCAAGCAGAGAGCACCTTCAGGCAAGGGAAGAAAACTGAAAGATGAAAGCAAATTTATCGAGTTAAAAAACTGATGGAATCATGGAATGGAAGATCCAAGACAAACAGATAGGCAAATACACAAAAATATTAACTCCTTAAGGAGAGTCGAAAGTAGGATAACTCATGTTGGAAATGACCCCCCCAAGAAAGCGTAAGGTATTAATCATATGCCTAAAGCAATGAACATATGTAGTTGCTATATTTTGATTTTCCCTCACTCACCAAATGATAGTGAATAATGCAAAGTTCCAGTTTCACTTAGTAAAGGGTATGCAAACTGTAATCCCACTCTGAATATTTACTGAACTGCTGGAAATAAGTTATCACTTTAAGGAAGAGTTTCAACACATTGCATGATAGCACAACTAATTCATGAATATCTTGTCTAAACTGATTCTTATCAGGTTTTAAAAACACATGTGATAAGGTTGATGATGGTTATAGTCATCTAAATTTCTTTTTATCTTTGTTCATTTCAGATAAAAACTGATTCCAAAACTCGTTTAGGAGCATGATTTCCAAGGATTGCATAAAGAAGTAGGCAATCTAGGGAATCCAGACCCCTGTTATGTCGGCCAGCAAGAAAGATGATAACGAATTATTGATGTGGGCGGAAGAAAAATCAAATATCATTAATTTAAAATACACACAGTATTGATCTTACATGTATTAGTTCATCCAGAAACTTTAGATCAGTCATGTGATTGTAATAGTATGTTTTCAAGTATAAGCTTGCAGACTCAAGTCTCATTCTTCACATCGATTCTAGAACTTGTGAATGGGACTACTCAGTTCAAGAACATATTATCCTTATAGAGAAATAACAAAGAAGGAATTGACTTCTTTTCTTGAGCATGGCTCAGTTCTGGTTCCAACTAATCAAATTTTAACACGATATATGACTAGATTCAGACTTGCAGTTCCTAGGCAGTAAAAGCTCTTTATTTCAGCCAGTTACCCACTGCCAGTACTTGTTATACCTAACCGGTACCACACTTATCTTGCTAGAATAATGTGTTACAGTGCCTGTTTTGACAGCTTCCCTTTAACTTTGAAGGGTTGCTATTGCTAAAGACGCACATATCTAGAAACAGGAAAAGAGAAATAAAAAGGAAAGTGGATGGAGTATCCATTAGGACAAATCAATAAAGGGCAGCTAGAAGACTGGAATTTCCTCATTTTCCTTGGGAGAGGGGAGGAAACCACCTATATTTGCTTGCAATCTGTCATTTTCCACTTTTCTCATGGGGATGGTGGAGCAGTCTTCCTCGAAGGAGGACTTATATGCATATGATTATTTCAAAAGTATGGTTACTTGATTTGCAGTAACCCAACTTGACAGTGTGAATTACTTGACGAAATCTAGACCATCGTAATTCTTGAGAAAATTGTATAAAAAGCTATATTGATGCCCAAAAAAGAACTACACAGTGTGTATGAAGTTCCAATAACTTTTACTAGGCTGAAGAACTCAATGTACTTCCCTTAATATGACGAGAACACTAATGAAAACTAAAAGCGAAAAATGATTACAATAGGATATTGGACACTCATTCAATCTTCTCATCATCTTCACATACAAAGAAAGAAGGTTCTAAATATAGGTTCTTTACAAATAGAATAGGCAGAGACCATGCCCCAATCAGCAAATAATTATTAGAAATCAATCAAATTTATAATTTCACTCAACCTTCTATCATATCAAGCACCATAGCTAGCAACCTCACAATTCACTTGTGATAATAGAGAAGGAAAAAGAGTTGGTAAGTATTAACCTTAGGTTCAGTATCACAAGTCTAAAAAAGTACTATGTTGAACATGTGGACAGTTGGATTCAACACGATCAAAAGCTAATTAGGAGAGCGATTGTCTGGATCATTTCACTTCTACACTACTACTAAGATTCAAATTTACCCTAACATATAATCAAAAATACCCTTAGGCCAACAAGCACCAAAGTCAAGGAAGATTATGAATCAGGAAAACTAACCTGGTTTTCTCTGAAAGTAGCACAATCAAACCAAAGATGACGAACATGAGAAGCATTCCAGCATGCTCAAAGTTATTCATATGAGTAGGATTCAAAACTCCATGAACGAGAAGTTTGAGGTGTGTCGAATAGAAGAGCTCAATACAGAAATCAATAAAACCTCCAATTGCTATCACATAAAGTTCCAAATATTTCAACTTCCCATCAAAACCCGGAACAGGGCTCCAAACCCTTACCCTGAATGACTTGGGATTCGATGAATATCTAACCAGAGCAGACCATATATGCCACACACCAATCACAAGAAACAATGTCCCAGGAAGAACATGCCCAGGAAAAGAACCCATCTTTTCTTGCAACAACCAAGAAAAGATCTACCAAACAGTTTCAACAAAATTCAAGATTGACCCAATTCTTGAAACTTCTTCAACACAATATCACCAAAAAGGAAAACACACACTTTTCTAATATACCCCTGTTCTCTGTAATTATGCTCTGTAAAAAACTAAAATTTAGCTTATCTAAAACAGATAAGCTAGAAAGATGAGCTCCTTGTTCAGTTAACTTTCTGTGAGAATATATTCTTAAACAAACTGAATCAATCCCCACTTACCCAGAAACGATACTGCACAATCTTTGAAGAAAGCAAACTCGTTAACTACAACCTGTTCCATAGAAAAACAGCTGTTAAACTTAGTTGTGAGCAAACAATATTGGTCATTCACCAAACTACTCTTCCAAAGCAAATCAGAAATAAACTTTTTCAACGAAATAATTTCACAAAAAGCTGACTTTTTTGAATTGACAAAAGAGAATTCAGAAAAGTAGGGAATTCCGTGTTTTCAAGGCCCACTAATGACAACTACATAAAAGTCAAAATAGTACTACCAGCGGCGGAACCAATATTTTCACAAAAAAATACAAAGAAATAAACACCCGAAGAAGTTACAGTAAAAATAATCTTAATCATATATATTCGAATAAACTCCTCGATCCTATCTACCTCTGCCTATTAACAGGCTTGAAAATGAAAGAAAGTAAAAAATTCCACATTTCCACGACTGTAATTATCAAGATTTGAAAAACCCAATTTCAGATCTATAATTTATTAATCAATCGCAGCCCCAGTTAAGTAAACAACCCAAAAAAAAGGGAATTGCTAAAACCAAGAAGAGTTGAACAGCAAAAGGGTAGTTGCAGGTAAATGTAACGCACCTTTGTTTTTGTGAATGCCGAAGAAAAGACTATAGTTTATCTTGTTGTTATTTGTGATGCAAGAAAAAGGAGGATAAAACTAAAAAGTAAAAGGAATGATTAAGAAAGTGGGGATCGGAGAAAGTTGAGATTGGGTCATAGAGAAGACAGAGGTGACGGCAATTATGGACGTATTATTGAATCTAATAAGTATTAATTTTATATTTGAACGGTGCCTCAGTTTTTTTCTCTTTCCGACATATACAGATATTTTTTTTAGGAGTACTAAATTTAAAGTTTCAAAAAAATCAATAGTAAAGTTAGTTTAGCAAATATATTCTTAATAAATATTTTTTAAATATTTTCTTACTAGATCAATATGGATGAAGTAAAATAAATTGTGGAAGTACATGTTAGACTTAGATAAATGTTTTTGGTTTTACTAAGGTTTAATCAAATAGTTTAGATATTAAGATTTATAATAAAATCTTAATATTACTAACTTAATATTTGTTAATTTAAGTATTTTTACAAAAATAATAATTTCCCACTCCATTTGCTTTCATCGCTAACCATTGTTATTATTACCTTCACTATCACCTACCATGATCAAATTAACATTGTTAATGATATTTACAATCATCTTCTATTTGATAGCAATCATCAGAGTCATTCATCATCATCATGAAATATAATTCATGATTATCATTATCTTCAATTATCATTACAATCTCCAATTACATCGATATTCACAACTATCGATCGATCATAATCATCCCATTAACTATTATTCACAATCATCACCAATAGTCAACATGATCTCCAGTCGACATAAAAAATTATCAGGCCATTACCAATGAATGTATAATTTCTTAAAATTATTTTGATATAATATTAAATTGATTTATTATGTTATTTTTATTCTTCTTAGGATGAGTGCTAGTTCGAAAGTGTGTTGTCTTAAAGAGTTTCACTTTTAAAAATTTAAAATTTTCATTTCGCTATGTTAGATTTACCTCAAGGAAATTTTTGAACACTAATACATGGTATAGAAATTTCACCTGTAAATTTTTTGAATTTCAATAACTATGCTAGAGTTATTTCATGTTTTAAGTTAAACTCATTTTTGTACAACCTCAGTAAATACAGATAAATTAGCACAATCCTTTAAACGATAAATAAATATTGATAAGCGTCACGCGATTTAAAAGAGTAATTTCCCTAGATAGTCACCCATGTTTGGGAAATTATCTAAAAATATCACTTATGTTTGTTTTAGGACTACAATATCACCCAATTTTGCCTATATTCCTCAAAATATACTAGACACAAAAAATACATTATTTCTCTCCTACTAGGATGCCATGTCACATTTTTAAATTTATTAATAATATTTTTTTAATTATTTAAATGACAGCTTGTTTAATATATCTATAAGAGAGCATTAATCCATTCTCTATGAAAATCTAATTACTTCAATTTTATAGCGAAAATCTTTAGCCTATGTTTCATTTACGAATATTTGCCGTTATATCCATACAAAAGTTTAGTCTTGCTGTCGAAGAAAAAATTAAACTAGTTCCTTGAAGCTGATGAAGAAGACAATAGATTTAGTTGGATATTTAGAGATAAACTAGATATTAGGAACATTGATTTTTACACAAACCATAAACATCTGTTGCTTGTTCACGGTAAAAAAATCAAAGGTTTCTTGTTCATGGTAAAGAAAAAAAAAGATTTTTACACAAACTATAAACATTTGTTCAAAGCTTAAGCAGATTCAAACAATAGAAATATCTGATTAAAAAACAAGCAAGCAAAAAACCCCTAAATTTTAAGAAAATTACTCCAATATCATGTCAAGTATTCAAATTATTTCACAATTTACACTTCAAAAATAAAGAATCAGAAGAAAACTTGAATTTTACCTCGTGGCGATTTCTTTGATCGACATCAAAGGTATACAACGGCTAAGGAGACAGGTCCTTATGCAAATTCGTTAATTTATTCTTTGAAGAACCGGAGGAAGCCACATATTCTTGAAGAATCAGAGGAGCTCATATTACAGTTCCTTAAGCAATTTTTTTACTGGATATAATATATGAGTTGTCTATTTTTAAAAAATTTTTGTTAATAATAAAAAAAGGAATAATGTGACATGGCATCCTAGTAGGAGAGAGATAATGTATTTTTTTGTGTCAAGTACATTTTGAGGAAAATAAGCAAAGTTAGTTGATATTGTAGTCCTAAAACAAACATAAGTGATATTTCTAAGTAATTTCTAGGGAAATTACCCGATTTAAAATGTCTTTTTACCCTTTTTTTTATTTATTTTCGTATCACTTTCTGCCCACAAACAATTATACTAGCTTTTACAAATTCAAGATGGGGACAACAATTTCTTTTAAAAATTAAAGAAGACTAGAAAAAATAATTAAAGAAGGAAAAAGACAAACCTTGTATCATGATGATGCATTTGTAAATTTGATTTTTACTATATATTACTCTTGTACTACTGTCTTATTATTCTTTTTTAGTATTACGTGATGTTTTATGTTATTTTATTATTGTTAAATTATTACTAGTATGCGTATTCACGCGTTATGTGGATATTTTGAAATATAATAATTTTCAAATTTAAAAATAACTAATAAAAATTATTATTGAGTAACAAAAATGCATGTATAATCATATATAATGTTTTAATTTTATATATACAATTAATGCTAACAAAATTTTACTCTAATGTATGAGCAATGCGTGTATGTCCTTCAAAGACACTAAACGTTATTCTAACAACTCCTCCTTCTCTAGTATAATGAAGATTAATAGGGTATGTGGCATGTGTTCATTTGCTTATGGATGGAGTAAATGACTTCAAAGAGTGAACTATCTGGATAACCGTTCTGAAATATGGATCTTAAAGCCATTCGTTGCTTATGAACCTCTTCATCGTTCATCAATTCCTTGAACTACGTCTTCTTTCTTCACCATCTCTCTTGGGTCTATCACTAAGTAAAATCATGTGTCCCATTTTCAAGTAATTTGTTACCAATTTGGCATCATGGAATTGGCCACGCCAAAATTGGGACTCCGCTGTTGAGTTCCATCCACAATGTGATAGAAATCCACCAGTTCCATCCCTTTATTATCATTCCTCTGTTTCAGGCAATCCAGGAAGAATTCGAATCTCACCATGGTTTTTCCATGCGACAAACTCCATTGCAGCAGTACAAGCACCAGAAGTGAAGAAAGAGACAACAGGTATGTCAAATTTCATGAAAATTTCCTCGCGCTATATTTGGTGTTTTTCCCATGTGCCAGATTCATTCCGAATGTGATACTCAACCACTGTTAGCCAATAATTACAACATTAACAAGTATAATACAAATAGTTGATTTGCTTCCAAAAGAAAATCAGAAAATGACATCCAATGAGAGACACAAACAAAACAATTACAAATAACTCACTGATATATACTCAGATTGTTTATGGGAACGATTAAAATTTCATAATAATAATATAACTTATTATTTAGCAAAATAGAAGTCCTGAAAATAGATGAATATTACTACGATAATATATCAATAAGCTGGACACTGTCGTAAGAAACTATTTCAACAATGTGAAATTAAACAAGCATTCCCTATTTAAATAGAGGATACATGAATCAACAAATTAATTAACTTCAACAAGTTATCAGTGGGAAATAAAATAACAAAGCCAAAATAATTAAATAACTTAAAAGGGAGGGACAGAACGTGAGAAAAAAAATAAAATAGTGATAGCATTGCTTTCTGATGCCCAATTCATATTGAAAACAAATATTTACTTACAGAGATTAGGAATGTGAGCAATTTTGTGCCAGTCTTCTCCTATTCCCTTCTCACACCGCTTGAACACTATTGGACATTCAGTAATTATTAAAGTTGTGAGTGCTGTTAGGTGCTGCAATCCCTCCGGTAAACATTTTAGCATACTACAGTAACTTTATTTTGCCTCTAAAATAAAGTTACTCTCTATTTCATATTAATTGAATATTTGAGATTTTTTTCATTGTTCAAAATAATTAAATTGTTCAAAGTTCAAAATGAATATTTAGTTTTTTTCCTTCATATTTGCCCTTTTCTTTAGTAAAATTTGCTTCTAGGGGATAAATTGCACTATTTACAAAGTTATATTTATGATTTCACAAAAGACAATAGTGAAAAGTATAATTTAAATTATGTCCGTAAATGTTTTTCTTAATTAGTCTACATTGCCTCACAAATTTAATTAATATAAAATAGAGGAACTAGTGTTTTCAAACCTCTAAAAGTAAGTGCAATGAAATTTTTTATGCTAAATGAATCACAATTATCATTAATTAGAGGGATCTTAGTAGCTCAGTTGGTTTATTACTTGAACTCTCAACTTGTTGATAAGGTTCGATTCCCTACATTGTAATTACCGCCCCATTTCCCTTTTCTCTATCTGCAATTTGTAAAATACAATAATTTTTTTTATCATTAGTTATGAAAGGATTATTTAAGAGAATTGTTTTTTATTATGTCCCCATGGACCCACCACCACATCATTTCACTTCAACATATTCTTCTTCTCTCTATATTTTCATCAAATTTTAAAATTAATTTAATTATATATAAATCATAATTCTTTAATATTATTTTTGGATATTGTTATCATCTAATTTCTTTCTCTTTTTTCATCATATAAAGGCCATTGTATTATAAAAATTATCATATATTTTATTATTTTTTTAATTAAAAAGTCGTTCAACTTTAAATTATATAGCATAAAAGTCAAATTATTAAAAACTTTTTCACTTAGAAAGTAAATTTCATCTAAATTTTAATATTTTATATTAAAAACATGATACAACACTCAAAAGTATATTAACTACTTTTAGGGCAGTTTTAGAAATATATTTAACTTCATAATACAAAAATTGTTTGGGATATACATATTACATTGAGAGTAATTGATACCGATTACAACAGCGACACCCAATTAACAAGCATGTCAATCAATCAGCACCAAAAAGAGAGAGAGAATCAAATAAAATCAATTACCTGGAAAATGACAGAGAATCGAAAAGCAGCAACGACTGTAATCTGTATCAATTACTCTCAATGTCATATTGTATAATTTAAAATTTTGTTTCAATTTTATACAAGTTTAAATGTCTA